AGGGGTTGAAAGTGGTTATATGTCCCTTGTGATACATCTGTCATGTCTGCTCCTAGTAAATGTTAGTCAATAGTTTTTCCATAAATGTTTAGTTTCACTCTCCATTCAGGCTCTGTGTCATCACATGATCAATCCCAAAACAACAGCTCTTAACTGTCAGTTCTCTGACTGTCTTAGTGCAGCAAAGAGCTGCAAAATGTCCATATTGTGTGCAAAGCTACGTCTTGTAGCTTTGGCTGGACATATCTTTCTCTGGTTATGAATTTTTTCACATCTTGTACATTTAGTCTGAAAGATTTGTAGTTTGCCTGGGACTTTTCCCTCATTGCCTCAGGGGTTTTATAATTATTTTTAGCAGTCATGCTGTGTCTCTCTACATTATCTTAGCTATTTTCTAGTTTTGCAAGTTGTGCCTGCCTTTTGTTTTGCTGCTGCATTTGCTCAGTCTGCTTTGTGATCTAGACAGCTGTTTGTAGAGTTACATCTGTCTTTAAATGTAGCTAAGTGAGAGCTTTGATTGGTAAGCCCAATGACCTATCTCTGATATTTTCATGTTTTACAGTCCCAAAATTGCAGTTTTCCTCAAAGGCATGCACAGCTCTTATAACAGATTCAACAGATTCCCCTGGTTCTTGAATTCTCTGCTGACAACACACCCTTTCATAAACCACATTTCTCTGGGGTACAAAGTATGCATCAAACATAGCTGGAACTCTTTAATGGTCATCTTTGTGACTATCATCAGCAAATCACAGAATTTTAAGATATACTCTGCCTGATTCCCCACAGCATAATTTAAAGACAATATCTGGATGGCTCCAATTTCCTGGTGGAATTTACTAGCAATGTGGAATCTTGGCAAAGCTCTGCTTCTACTCTCTCCATTTTGAAGGTCTGTCAAAGCTGAAGTTTTCTGGGGCATCGAGGAGTGGCAGGTTGATGGGATTGATCCTGCAGCATTTGTTGCTTTTTTCTTCTTCTTTGCTGTTTTCTTTCCATTTCTGTTCTTCTCTGGCACTAGTTAGGTTACCTTTACTTCTGACACATCACATACCCCTTGTGCATGGTAGGTTGCAGAGTACCTAGCAGGCTTCTGTACCAGATTTGGAGTGGCTACAGAGCTCCCCTCATGCAGCAACACAAGAGCTGCAGTTTCTTTGACTGTGACCACCTCAGAGTCAGTACCTTAAGCACAGTATAGCCAAGTGGCCGAACACCCTAACACAGTGGTTCTCAACCAGGGGTACACAGAGGTCTTCCAGGGGGTACCTCAATTCATCTAGATATTTGCCTAGTTTTACAACAGGCAACATAAAAAGCACTAGTGAAGTCATTACAAACTAAAATTTCATACAGACCATTACTTGTTTACACTGCTCTATAGACTATACACTGAAATGTAAGTACAATATTTATATTTCAATTGATTTATTTTATAAGTATATGGTAAAAATGAGAAAGTAAGCAATTTTTCAGTAATAGTGTGCTGTGACACTTTAGCAGATTTATGGCTGATTTTTTAAGCAAGTACTTTTTAAGTGAGGTGAAACTTAAGAGCATGCAAGACAAATCCACCTCCTGAAAAGGGTACAGTGTCTGGAAAGGTTAAGAGATACTGCAATAACAGAGGTTTCAGTGGTAGCTGTGTTAGTCTGTATCAGCAACCCCCCCCCCCCAAAAAAAACAAAAAACAATGAGTCATTGTGGCACCTTAGAGACTAACAAATTTATTTGGGCATAAGCTTCTGGGGGCTAGAACCCACTTCATCAGATGTATGAATTAAAAGATACAGGAGCAGGTATAAATACATATCAAGTGTTAAGTCAGTCTAACGAGATAAATCAATTAACAGCAAGATACCAAAGGAGGAGAAATAAATTTTGAAGTGGTAAGAGAGTGGCCCATTACAGACTTACAAGAAGGTGTGAGTAACAGTAGGGAGAAATTAGTATTGGGGAAATTAAGTTTAGGTTTTGTAATGACCCAACCACTCCCAGTCTTTATTCAGGCCTAATCTGATGGTCTCTAATTTGCAAATTACTTCTAGTTCTGCAGCCACACCACCGATGGAGTGGAGATAATATTTAATACAGCTCCCTCTGCCGGCTGCTATGTTTCTTGTTCAGTTCTGGAAGACTGCCGTCCTTCCCCGATTTGTTACATTTGTCACTGACAAGCTCTCGGGCCCCGCCCCGGATCTAAGACACTGTCTCCAGAGTGCTGGCAGCAGCCCAGTCAGACTGCATGCTGGGAAACGCCAATCTCACAGGCCACACCCCTTCCCGGACGCTTCTGAAGGGAATTCCATACTCAGACCCCGCCCTCGAGTATCGCTATTGGCCCTCACTCGGCCAATCAAAAGCCTCTTGATTTGGGCCCGCTCCACCCCAGCATAGGCTGGCCAGATCCCGCCTCTCCCCTTGCGTAAGGGTTGCGTCACCGGCCGCGCGCCGCTCTCTGGTTGGCCAGCGGTGTGGCCGCGGCCCCGCCTCTCGCCTTTCGCCCGTTCGCCGTCGGCCAATGGGGTGGTTTGTTGGGGGCCGGAGGGGGGTATTGACGCGCGCTCAGCTGGGCCCGCGTCTGCCCGCTGCGCTCCCCCCGCTACCGCCGGCCTCAGGGTGACGAGGAAGCGGAACCGCGTCCAGCTGCCAGGGCCCCTGTACGCGGCCCGCGCTCCAGGGCTGAGGGGTGGGGCTGCTGCTGCTCAGGTCGGGGGGCCTGAGGGCCTGGGGAGAACGGCCTGCTGTGCCGGCCGGGGGCAGAGGCCGTGGTTGCGGGAGCCTGGGGAGCAGGCTTCGCCTCTCCGGCCGAGCACGGGCTGCTGCAGAAACAACTGGGGTGTGGGGGGACAGCTAGAACTGAAGGATATTGGCCTGCTGAGGCAGCTGCACGAACTGGCGGATTTGGGGTGCAACTGGGGGGACCTGGGACTGCCGGAGCCAGAAGATCAACCGGAAAACCTGGGGCTCAAAGGCTGCAGCGGGGTATTGATGCATCAGGTAACGCTTCATTAGGAGATGGGGCCTCTAGGGTCTGGGGCTGGGGGGACGTCTGCATCAAGAAAAAGAGGAGCAATTTCAGGAAGCCAAACTTGGCATCTATATTTTGTGTGTGGAATGGCATTTTGCCCCGTGGGACCTGAAGACACTGCCGCTGTCTTCTCTCTCGTATGTTTTTGGGTCTAAAGAAGGACAGACGAACCACAGATCAACTCCTTATTAAAACACATTTTTCTAGTCTTAATACATTTTTGGGAAGAAGAGAAGTGCCTATAGAGGAGAGTGTGGGTTTTACCAAAGGAAGGGGTAGCAGAGCATGAAGATGTGGAAAAGCAAAGGCTATAAGGGTGTCAAGATCTTTCCGTTTTAGAGGAAAGGGAAAAACAGGTGTAATGTGGAGAAGGGAGTTACGCGTCAAAAGCTGGGTGGGTGAGTTGGGAGGAGAGTTGCAGAAGAGTTTATAGAAGAAACTGTTGGAAAGTAGGGTTACACTGAGACTTGCTTTTTCTGATACTTCAGTAGCTATTACACCGCCTTTCATTATGCAGATTTTGTTCTGGTGGGGAGGGTACATTTTCTTCCCTGTTGCCCTGGTTGTTGGAGGATGTATTCCTTTAATTTGTGACCATGAAAAAAACGGTGGGCTTGTAACCACCCTCTTTCAACCAAAGGAATGGAAACCCCCCTCCTTAAATATCCTACACCCCAATCTTATTAGTAGGTAAAGTTTGTTTTGTTTTGAACAAACTGTAAATTGCCTTGTGTGTAGTTGGGGTGATTTGTCATTATGGATCGCTTACCACGTTTTAATGTGTATTAAGGGTTGTGTACGCTGTTGACAAAACATTTCCCCAAATAATTCTACACTTGTAAATATAATGGCTTAATTTAAAGCATAGAGAGAAAAACATGTAATTTTAACGTCACCCCTTTTAAACAGAATCACTGTACTATACAATGGTTGTGCAGCCAACAGACTCCTTTTAAAAATGCATTATGTTCGTGTCTGCTTTTTCTGTATTCACTTCAGTGTGTAGTAAATGTTTTAGTTTTGTTGTTGCTTGGAATTTTATTAATTTGTTGGCAGTTGGTTTTTCTTATTTGAATTTGGACTATGGATTCTGGTTTTGTGATAAGGCGATTGCATTGCTGTTGCTAGATGGTTCTATTTTATTTTAGTATGGCGTCTTTCTTGAAAGGTGTAGTTTTGTTGTTTTTAGATATAGCATCTGTAATATTTTCCCCTTCTGTAAAAATTAAATCTGCAAAGTCTCAGTGTCTAAAACCTTTCGTGTGTAGTGTGATATTTTCCACTGAATTTAAAATAAGAATTGAGCAGATTTATGAACCAGAGCAAAGCGAGTGGTCAGGCTATCGGCTACAGTGGGTCCAAATGTCAATTTTGGAATTAAAGATGATGTATAATGCATTTCAGTGGCAGCAGAGCCCAGTTAAGTGGACTTCTAACAAATAATGTGCTTAAACTTTTTACTTGGCAAAGTGATTGCAGAATCTCTTTGAGCTGAACGGTTTTCTTTAGGGTTGAAAAAACGACAGCAAATGTTTGGATCTGAGCGTTTTGTGGCTTTTTTTTAATTGGGGTGGGGGCTTACAATAAGTATAAAAATGCTGGAAGTTGATGACGTAGCAAGTAAAGTTCATGGCTTTGGAAAGCCAAATCCTCTCCCGGTGTGCCGTTTTAAAATGCAAAGTTGACAGGCGATCAGCCCCCAAAGCGATGCTCCTTTGCAAAGCCACCAGAGCTTTTGGGCTCATTGTGTACTCGACGGTCTGACACCTTCCTGGGGGAAAAGTTCCAGCTTAGGGTAAAGCAGAAAGGTGCCTAGTAATTTGAAGGGGGGTGGTTGGAAATCTTCATAGCCTTGGCCAGTCCCAGCCCCAGAGAGAGAGAGAGAGAGAGAGAGACAGAGAGAAGGAGAAGCTGCTGCTGCATCTAGGAATATGAATTTCCCCCCCTCAGCAGGTCGGATCACCTCGGCTCCATGGTGAGGAGAAAGAAGAGCCCCCCTGGGCCAGAGGAACAGCACAATGGGTAGGATGGGGTGGGGGCGAGTCACTTTTAGGAGCCCCTGTCCATGCTCTGCGCTCCCCCTGTTCCGCTGGGGGCGGGGGGGTTTGGTGGCTGTTTTTCTCTCTGTGTGTGTGTGCGCGCCTGTCGAGCGCTTCCAAACGCCTGAGTTTGGTTTGGCAATTTCCCTGCCAAAGGCGCTCCTAATCCCTTCAGGAAGGTGCCAGGGGTCTGCCGGGGGCGTCTGGCTCCCTTTTGGGGTGGTTTGGGGGGTTTCCTATGGGGCTTTTCCCTTCCCACCCTTCGGCACAGGTTGTTGGGTCGGGACAGCAAACGAAAGGGGATTTAGTAACAAACAACGGCGGCCATGTTGAGAGGAATTTCTGCAGCTAAACTTCTCCCCTCTCAGCCCAGGGATTTTCCTCCCTCTCTAGTGGGGGTCTGTGGCTTGACTTTGTGCCCCCCTCTTTTCTTTCTCTCCTCCCCAACAGGATGACAGTGAAGCTGGGAGACAGCAGCGGGGAGGAAGGGGTGAAAAAGCTAGGCAAGCGAGCAGGAGGAGATGAGGAGTCCCTGGAAGAAGGGGCAGGAAGAGGAGGAGAGACAGCTCCAGGCAGGAGCAGCACAAAGAAAGAAGAGAAGATTATTAACAACAACACTAATAACCCCTCATCCAGCCCCAATTTACCCCAAGCCCCATCTTCTCTCCAGCCCTCCCACAGCCAGGACCAACATCATTTTCTCAGGTCCAGTGTCAGACCTCAGAGCAAGAGGTTAAGGAAGGATTCTCAGGCTTCCTGCTCACTTGGCAATAGTAGCAGCACTACTGCAAAAGGAAAAGGTACTGTATTCTGTCACCCCTAAAACACACTCAAGGGGCAGGGGTGGAGGTGGGGGTCAAGTGCATTTTCAGAGGCTGACAGTTCTGTCCTTCAGATGCTATCTTTTGTGATGTTTTTTGTTTTGTTTTTGTTTTGTTGTAGTAGAGGAATTCCTCTGTGACCCCCAAGGTTTCAGCTTGAATGCTGCCCACTCTCATGTTTAAGTTGCAAAAATGGGCACTTTGGATGTGTGCATGGATATTTTCCCCCCTCTCCATTTAATATCAATGAGGATATTTAGCACCTGCATTTACCCTATAAATTCCTTTATTTTGGCTAGTAAATTAGACTGTGGCAAAATGGGTTAGGTTAGGTGATTATGCACAGAATTACTAGCATTGGGCTATAACAGGATATTTATTGGGTGTGCAGGATAATATCTGAAAGAGAGGTTGCTGTCTGTCCCCCACACGATAATTTGTGAGACTATTGCAACAAAGAACTCTGGCTTTGGAAACCTGTCTGAAATGTACATTCTGTAAACATGTCTAACCATGTTGCCTTAGGTTCTGTGCAGCATCCTCTGCTAGTGTGTTACTAATTCAGAAATGTCCAGGGCACTTATATGTTAACCCTTTCAATTAGTTATTTCACTTTAGTTCCATGGATGACTTCTTCAGAGCTGTTGCTTCTTTAGATAGAGGGAACAGGGGAAAGGATATTTGAGAGACTTGGTACTATTATGTGCAAGCTGTGCTTTCTGGTTGATACCTGGCTCCATAATTGAGTGATACTTGGATATAATACTTTGGGCACCAATACTTAAGTGTATTTTCATTATTTTGAGGATAAGTAATGCTTTGTTGTTCTTAACCTTTTTATCTGAGTAAGCAATTCTTACCTCCACCTGTCCTTAAAAATAACTCAGTACTTCATAAATATGTTTCACCTTACCTCTTCTTTCCCAAGTACTGAATCTTCACATAGTATACAGAAGGAAAAAATGCTGAGAACCAATATTAGCTTTGCGTTAAAAATAAATAAAATATAACTTTGCAGGGTACCATGTCCCATTAGGTGTATTTAAACAAAACTTTAAGTATGTTGTGTGGCAAATATTTTTGTAAAGTTTACAAAAGTACTTTTTTATAGGTTAGTAAATTCTACTTAATATTTTAAAGGCTCAGCGAAATCTTCAATGTCGGGTGTCTAGTATTGAGAAGTCTAGATAATTCTCTACCCAATGCACTTAAACAAAATAAACAGAAGAATAGTTGAGATGCAGCTAATTATTTTAAGGATTGTGAGTAGTATTACTGTTATCTCTCTGGGATGTATATATTCCATAATCAGCATGGTAAATGTGTATGTATTTGTGTATATTATATATTAAACGCATACACACATTTTCAAAACAGTGGAATGGCTTGAAATGGCCTTGCTTACACTAAGTCAGCGAGCAAGCTCCATTTATTTTAAGATTCATATACTGAAATTAACAAAAGAAAGTTATGCACAGTACAATCTAATGACTAGAATATTTTTGGTAATTAGAGAAACAAATCACTGTACCTGACTATATTTTGTCCATGTTTTGGGTAATTTTATTAAATCATTGAGGATAGTCAATAACACATTTCAAATTGAAAGCAGCTAGAAACTCCACTTGGCTAGTTTTGCTATGAAGGCATTGGAGGTGGTTCCTCTGATATGGCTGTCGTTGTATCTGTCAGAATCTTAGAGAATGGAGCTGTGGAGTGTGGGATGCTTCCGAATTTGAATTCTTTATGTCCAAAGTTGTAGGCTCTGAAACATTTTACTGGTTTGTCTAAATTCTCTCTGTGATAATGACATGTCTTGTGATCAAAATTTAAATGTGTTTACATTCCAAGTGAAGTACCACACAGTGTGAGCTTCCTGCAGGAAACAAATTGAAGGAAGGAGGCTTTTAGAGCAGCGATTTTTTTTTTTTTTTTTTTTTTTAATTCAGTTTTCTTTATCTCATCTCCCATCCCATACTCAAACCCTTCCTCCCCACCCCCACAAAAAATTATGCATCTGAGCTGGTTACTGTCATCAGCTTGTGCTTTGCTGCAGTACTCATGTGGGATTCCCCAAACCTTTGGATCTGCTATCAGAGCTCAAGCCTTTCCATTGGTATGTTGCTGCCAGATGACAGCTGCAAGGGTCATGTTAACACTGGCCATTCTGCAGCTACATTTGGACCATATCAGAAATCCACCTTGTGTTATGATCTTCCAATAATACACTCTAGGGATGTAAATAACATTTAAAAACAGTAACAGATTACAATTCTATCGGTTACAGGGTTAAACATTTACCTGGGGAACTAGGAGTGCGGGTGGTGCTGCAGCACTCCTACATTTTACGCAGGGCTCCCTGCTGCCGGCCCCTTGGCAACCCGGAGGGAACATGGGCGTGCTGGGATGCTGGGCGGCAACAGAGCAGCAGCTGGGAATTCGGGCGTGGGACCGGCAACCGGGATGGACCTCAGGTGCGCTGGGATGCCGGGCAGCAGCAAGGTGGCAGCTGGGACCTTGGGTACAGGGCCGCCAACCATGATGGACTCTGGCAGCCCGGAGGGATCCCAGCCACGGGGCCAGCAGCCCAGAGGGACCCCAGGCAGGCAGCAGCTGGGACTCCTGGCGCGTAGCTGCCGGGACCCTGGGTGGAGTTTAACCATTAACAGGAACCAATAAGCATCAAGCTTATCAGTTAACCGATTAAACTCTTACATCCCTAATACACTCATGATTACCTTTCCAAATATTCTTGAGGGTGTCAGGAGGGAAATTAGCAAAGGTACAATCATTAAACATGGCATTTAATTTCTTTTAAATAATAGCTCGTCATAGTGCATTGGTTGGGCCTCATCATTTATTTGTTATGATTTATCTGTAAGTGATGTTTATTTATTTATTTTTTTAAACCAATCAGTTTTATTTGTAGCAATTTGTGCTGTTTGGGCATATCATTTTAGTAAATCAATTATATAAATAATAAACTTATATTTAGGATATAATTAAAAGTGATGGGGGGGGGAAATAGTTTGCCTATAGTTTGAAGAGGAATCAGTGGAGTTTAGGGAACTTTTTATCCATTCTCTTTCTCAGATTCTGTTCAGCAGAGGGAAATCTCTTGGGAACTTTAACTTTAAAATAAGTTGGAACGTATTTCCAGTTGGATTCTTGGGTTGCCGCTCTTGCTCCATTAGCTCACTGAGTTGTTGCATTTTGCAGTTTAGGGAAAAAGGTGACATAAGCAGCATCTTGAAGTGAAACATCAATGCTGTTTTTCTCCATCCTGCCCACTTTTTCACTTGCTGAGCGATTTATCTAGTGCATTGTGTGTATCAGATAAGCCTAGCTCCATCCTCTTTGGACCCTCCCCTTCAGGTAGTTGAAGACTGCTATCAAATCCCCCCTCACTCTTCTCTTCTGCAGACTAAATAACCCCAGTTCTCTCAGCCTCTCCTCGTAAGTCATGTGCCCCAGCCCACTAATCATTTTCGTTGCCCTCCGCTGGACGCTCTCCAATTTGTCCACATCCCTTCTGTAGTGGGGGGCCCAAAACTAGACGCAATACTCCAGGTGTGGCCTCACCAGTGCTGAATAGAAGGGAATAATCACTTCCCTTGATATGTTGGCAATGCTCCTACTAATACAGCCCAATATGCCATTGGCCTTCTTGGCAACAAGGGCACACTGCTGACTCATATCCAGCTTCTTGTCCGCTGGTCCTTTTCTGCAGAGCTGCTGCTTAGCCAGTCGGTCCCCAGCCTGTAGCGGTGCATGGGATTCTTCCTTCCTAAGTGCAGGACTCTGCACTTGTCCTTGTTGAACCTCCTCAGATTTATTTTGGCCCAATCCTCCAATTTGTCTAGATCACTCTGGACCCTATCCCTACCCTCCAGCATATCTACCTCTCCCCCCAGCTTAGTGTCATCTGCGAACTTGCTGAGGGTGCAATTCATCCCATCATCCAGATCATTAATAAAGATGTTGAACAAAACCGCCCCAGGAACAACCCCTGGGGCACTCTGCTTGATACCGGCTGCCAACTAGACATCAAGCCGTTGATCGCTATCTGTTGAGCCTGACAGTCTAGCTAGCTTTCTATTCACCTTATAGTCCATTCATCCAATCCATACTTCTTTAACTTGCTGACAAGAATACTGTGGGAGACCATATCAAAAGCTTTGCTAAAGTCAAGATATAATATGTCCGCCGCTTTCCCCATATCCACAGAGCCATTAATCTCATCATAGAAGGCAATTAGGTTGGTCAGGCATGACTTGCCCTTTGTGAATCCATGTTGACTGTTCCTGATCACCTTCCTCTCCTCCAAGTGCTTCAGAATAGATTGATTTTTCCGGGGACTGAAGTGAGGCTGACCAGTCTGTAGTTCCCCAGGTTCTCTTTCTTCCCTTTTTTTAGAGATGGGTAATATATTTGCCTTTTTCCAATTGTCTGGGACCACCTCCGATCGCCACAAATTTTCAAAGATAATGGCCAATGTCTCTGCAATCACATCAGCCAACTCCCTCAGCACCCTTGGATGCATTAGATCTGGACCCATGGACTTGTGCATGTCCAGGTTTTCTAAATAGTCCTTAACCTGTTCTTTCACCACTCCTCCCCATACTGTGCTGCCCAGTGCAGCAGTCTGGGAGCTGACCTTGTCTGTGAAGACCGAGGCAAAAAACGCATTGAGTACTTCAGCTTTTCCCATATCATCTGTCACTAGGTTGCCTGCCCCATTCAGTAAGGGTCCCACACTTTCCCTGACCACCATCTTGTTGCTAACATACCTGTAGAAACTCTTCTTGTTACCCTTCACATTCCTTGCTAAATATTCTTCTGTAGCTGGCCCTGTAAAATTCACTAGAAAGAGGAACCCCAAATTGATTCTCGGGCCTCCATGTGTTGCGTGAGCTATAGGACATGTATTAGGGCACTGGTTGACTGCAAATTACACTCATGCAAACAGGAAACCTTTT